TTTAAATAATATATTTCCTTCCTTAGGCTTTGATTAAAGTATTTGATACTTGATTTGATTAAACATGCTATAACCCGAGCCATCCATTATTTTGTCTTTGTTAACTAATAATTGTAGGCCTAAGTACAATATTCAAATTAAATATGAAGCGATATCTTTTGTCTTTATACCGCAAAGCATTACCTTAAAAAACGCTCCTCTGACATAATCTGTTCAACGAAAATCTTAAGAAAACACAAGAGAAAACACGTTTTTAATTACACTAAAATGTGCGGATCTCCAAATTGCCGCTTGTTCAGCAAGGCTTGTGTGTCTTGGCGATAAGCCGCTGGAGGGGGGGGGGGGGGGGGGGGTAATTGTCGACCATTTGGTGTTGGTTTGGGGAATCAGAACCACCGCATCCGACGAGAACCCTCGGTAAGTTGCGAGAAACCACCGGACCCCCCCCCTTGCTCCACCACTTCCACCCCCTGTAAACCTACCTCATCCCCCCGTAGCTACTGCGGCGGGTCGGCGGTTTATGTATTCATGGAGTATTTGGTTAGGGGTTGAATGTGTATAATGACCTTGGTGAAATAGGTATGGAAACGTTTTGTTGTAATAAAGTTGATATCGTATCTACGGTTATCTCGAAGACAAGTCATGTTGTGTTAAATGTTTGGTTTGTACACGAGTTTGTCCGTAGTAAAGTATTTAAGGAGTTTTTCTAGTGAATTGTGGTCGAACGGTTTTGTAGGCTTATATATGACTCCTAAGTAAAAATGCACTAAAATTTGTATTGCGTATACTAATTTTGTTTTAGCACACGGATTTTGGTATACTGTAGAAGGATCTCATGTTTGAAAATTGTTTACGAACACACATGATGAATTTTGGCAAACATTTGTGTGTATTATAGCTTGGTTTTGAAATTATCACACAATGTTCTGATTTTATATAAAATTAAGATTGTTCTCCTTTCCAAACTATCGCGCACTGATTTACTCAATACATAGCTAGTTCTCTTTATTTACGGGGTTCGAATTCGGTTTTGGGTCTGAAGGACAACAGTGACCAGTCATGCTTTAAGTAATGTATTGTCAAAAATCACAACGATTAAATCTCATCATTCTCTCAGTGTGGTTTGAATGCTTGGATGTGTTTGTGTATCACCTTAGTCATCAAAATAGTTAAGATATAATGTTTACATTTATTATAATCCAACAAGAAAAACTACATAATTTTCCTGACACTGATACCGTGCTACTGGACGACACGACGTCAGATGTTTGTATTTAAACAGTTTATCACACTGTAAATATGTAAAGCCATGAGAACGGTCAAGAAGTAAGCTATGTAACTCTAGGCCATATCAGTGAAATTAATATTGAAGATATCACTAGCAGTGTTATATCAACGCTGACTCATTTATAAACTAAAACAGTATCGATGTTAAAAGTTGCATGATTCATTCGTTGAATAGTTATAATTTCCTTACTCGATATAGTATAGTGTGTCATTTGAGTGATAGCATCGTACGATTTTATATTTTTAAATGTTACGAAATCTTTACAATTGCTTGTCTTAATGGATTGTACAGTGGACATAATATTTATGATTCAATGTTTGAATTCCCTTTACGTAAATCAACAACTGGTGAAAATGGACACAGAAAAGTATATAGAAAGCTGGATTTTCATGACTTAGAACTTTGAATTTAAATTTTTGAAGAACATATTTTATTTTATTTTTTCAAAACAATTTATTGCAATTAAACTGCAATCGAGGTTTTTACTCTTTAGCTATTTAGAAATTCGATATATAACACTTGGAAAAGGGTAATAGGCCTACCTCTCACATTCCTTAACGTGTTAAATATAGTTTAACGATGAACCTGACTAGTGAAGTTTGAGGTTGGGATATTCTGATGCTCATAAACACCTTTAAGTTTACGGGGTTTCTCAGAAATTGTTTGATTTAATGTTATCATCAACTGTGGAGAAACCGCAGTAAACTTAAGACTTGATGTTAACCAGGAGCTCATAAACATGATCGCTTTTAGTGGTCATAAACAGAACAGAGGTAGATCTCGACGAGTGGCAATATAGTGGGAGTATTCTTACTTTTAGTTTACAAAGTAATTAAGACTTGCCATGCGAGGCACTAAATAACAATAATTAGATATATGAAATCACAGTGAAATGTTACAGTAATGTCACTCTACTCTAATGTGTATATTTTACACATCGTGTATACGTTTATATTTTTCCCCTTTCATATTGAAAAATGTTGAAAAGGCACATTCTACCATAAAAGGATATAAAAACACTTCGGGTTCCAATACGACTTAATTATTCATTATCAAACAAACTTACCGTTTCAAAGCGTTTCAAAGTAACCTCGCATTCAAAATATTCATAGATAACAACTCATCCTTCAACTACTGCGGGGAAGGTACGAAAAGAGTTTACAAAAGAAAGGAAGTTAAAACGGAGAACGAGTCTGGATTTCACCGAGGTTGAGAAAAAATAAATGAAATTGTCGAGGGAAGTAGGAAAATGTGAAGGGGAGATACTAAAAAGCTTCAGAGGTTCTTTAAAAAGAATAATGAACTGTTGTGTGGAAGCAATCCCTTGCAGAAACATTCCTTTCCATTTCCACTTTGGAGCTTATTAGCCAGCTAACTGCTCTTCATCTTTCTTTGCTTCGTATAGTCTAATTTCACGGTTATGTTTTCTGTTTGCAATCTTTATAGGTGAAAGAGTTTGTGATTATTTTGTGTAACAGAAAACAGCTTTAATTTAATCGTCTGAAAATACAAGACATTTTTAGACTGGTTTTAAAGGTAGTCATGTTTAAGAGAGGATCTTGTATTAATGATTATTCACTATATATGTATATGATACGTAGTGGGTTGAATGGGTCACATTGTTTGTTAAATACTCATTTTATCTATTAGCCTAATAAGTTTCAAAGATATATTTTGGCCAGATACTGGTTGTTTATTTTTCACATTCAATTGAATCGGTCTGATAAAACATGTTTGAACTATCACGAAATGTATACATTGCTAAACGTCACAAAATTTATTTATAACTAAAATAATCTTCTGCAGCTGTTGTATAACAATCATGTTCAATTGTTTTTTTGTTCAGCAAATTGATGGTCTTTGGGATATTTAGCTCAAATATTTCACCTGTACTTCTTACTGGTTCTTATTAGGTCCACCATATCTTATTGGCCTATTTATTTGACAAGGTATGCTCATAAGACTAGGGAGTAGGGGAGAGCAAGAGACCTCCCCTATCTTTTTCCTTATCATTTCAAAGTAAGGTATCTATGATATCATTTCGATGATACTGTATCTACTATTCCTCCAAAAAATTCAGGAAATGCTGACCCTCACTCTCTGACTCTCAAATTTTTATTCTTTCACGGGGGCCAATTTTTTGGATCTGATTCTTCGAATCTTGCAAGATAAGCAAATTCTTCCCCTTATGGTTTTTCAATTCGTTGTATATAAGCCAATATTCAATCCCTAATTCTATAATTCGTTCAAGGTTGTCTGATTCTCTTAATTCATTTATAAGGTAGGGCAATTCTATCTCATTTCATCCTCTAACTCTTTAAGGGTAAGCCCATCGTCTGCTCCCGTGTTCCTCTCATTGGTTCAAGGAAGTCCCATAGTTTTCCCCGTTCCCCTTTCACAGTCTTGTTTGTTTACTGTTGTAATTTCCTTATCAGCCTGTTGTTAACGTGTCAACCTGTTTGTCTAATCTGTTATAGCAAACTAATCAAGTTGTAAAGTGTACAATTTATTTGTTTTTAAACTACCAGCATCGATAACAACTATTGATTTTATGATTGTTAACAATTTTTCGGTTTCAGACACAGTTTTAATGTGTTTATGCTGTTGAGTCACTTTCAGTAAATTACATTTTTAAGAGTGTAATTTTGTATCGTCCCTACACCCCTTAAAAGTTACTGTGCTTGCGAATTTAATGCATAGGAACTATGAAAGTGCAGTATCTTAAACTGAAAGATTAACTTATATTTAATATGCCTACCTACTTTAAATACTAATGCAATGGAAGATTACAAACTTTTTGGTCAATTTTATGATACAGTAGAACAAATACAATAATGACCTACATTCTACTTAACGCTACTTTGGACGTTAATCGAAGAATGGCAAATTAACCTTAGATAACGCTTGGTATTTCTGTCCTAAGAATGAAAATATTATCTTACTTGCGTCGGACTTATCGAGGTCAAGATATCGATCGGAGGTTATCGATATATCGAAACGCTTAATTAATTGACCAACAGTGGTTTTGATCGAGGTTATCTCCTAACATTCACCTCGAATGTTTCGAAAAGATGTTTATGTTATTCTATGTATACTAATAAACTATTATCTTTCCGTATATTCCAACCACAGTATTTGTGTTAATTCTAATGGTTACTCTTTGAGGGCAAATTCTTGAAATGCATTGGTGTTGAATTCAATTCTTTTAATAAGCACGAACGAAGATGTAGTTTTCATTCAAAATCAAATATATTGTGATTTGACACGGCTTTTGGGGCACATTTATCTGGTGTTCGGAAGAAGTTTCTATGCTTATAATATATCCGTAATAGTTACCGTACGTGCGAATGCCTAATTTTAGGGCCCAAGACGTTTTCCGGAAAGGTTTGAGATCAAATAACCTTAATAACCGATTGCTGATAGCTATGTCAACCCGATGATTTCGTGGTACCCTTGTTCCTTAAGCTATTAATATAAAAAAAAGTCTTAGTGGTGATTATAACTTTTTCTAGAACTCTTCTCACTAAATGCCATACTAAATTTTAACTGATGGTTTTCACAGTTACGGTCTAGTATTTTTTCACAGTGGTCCAATATTTGTTACAATTTACCTTTGTTCGGTCTCAGTCTGTCTCCAGTTTATAACAGTTAGTGTATTGTCTGTTTGTCACAGTTGTTTGTTACGTTTGTTACAATTGTTTGCTTGTTACAGGGCCCGCCTCAGCCTGGCCAGCCATTCAAGTTCACAGTAGGTGAATCATGTGATCGGATAAAAGAGGAGTTCAACTTTCTACAGGCGCAATACCACAAGTGAGTGACAAATATTACATCCATCAACAAATGTTTTTTGAAAATTAGTTCTCATAACACAAAAAAGAGAATCGAACTTCCATTGAGTTAGACGAAAGTAATTAACGTAAAACTGTTTATTTTTACCAATGCAACGTGAAAAAATAATTTTATTTCAATGTGAAACAATATAAATTGTATTATTACGTGTGAGTGCAATAGTTATTAAAACGCTTATGAAATGAGATAAGTGTGTTGATGAAATCTATCACTTGAAAATTACTATTCTCACGAGGAATAAGAGAATAGTCTTGTAGATAGTGAAGCACTTAAATGAACCACTCAAACGCTATCAACTGATTATATCATATAACTTGAGCTATTAGAGCTTCTTTAAGTGTAAACACGATGATCAGACGGCTTTTACAGTCTGTGATCAATTAATGTATTATAAAATTCATTACTTTAACTTATTTTCTTTTTTATTTAGTTTGGATTTATTTTGTATAGTTTATAAGTTTATTGATTTGCTTATAAATTAGTATACACATGAATTTTGTCTGATTACTGTTAACTTATTTGGATGCTTTATCAAACAACTAGTTTGAAACCATTACAAATGTTTGGATTTTATCTAAACTTGTATACATTTTATGTTAAATCAACCTCCACACATTTTATAATTCATATATTTAACACCCTTTACAGTGCAGGAACGATACTGTCCGCATCGAACAGGTTTTGAATCATTAAAATCCAATTGGAGGTCTGCGGCGAACATAACCTCAAAGTGGCGGTGAGGTTAGGTTATGTTGGTGGCCAATTACCCTAACAAATGGCTCGCATAGTTGTCTCGTTCCCGCCACGGCGCCGCCGGCATCGCTCCACTGCTGCCAACTCAACTTCTCTATCTAGTTATTATATTGCCGTCATTATAACAGCTGTTAGTGCCGAGATTGCTGATATATTCGGCTGTTGGCTGTTCCCGGGCGATTTGCGACAGAAGTGTTTACTTTTCCCGCCATTTGTACAGCGCCGTGTTATCTTTGAGTGGAGAAATCGCTGAGTGCTTCTGCCGGTCTTTGATCGTTGATCGAGAGTTTCCGGGAAACATGGACGATATCGTTTGTCTTCGTTGAAGTGATGGGTGGAAACGGGTTGATTGATTTCTACATGTCTTATTCATTTTACAACGTGTTGCACTTACTACTAGTTGATTTGCACGATATCGCGGACAATAGGCACAATCTGCCATTTTATACATTATACATAGTAGGCCTAGTAATATCGTGGTAATCGGGGTCAAATCATGTCACAGCATTACAAGTGTCGGAGGTTGGCCGAGGAAGACAATTATACCGAAGAACCTCGGAAGGAACTGTGTCGTTGAACTGATGAAAAATACTGACCAACCAAATACACCCATATTCCAGAAAAGCCACAATTTAACTTCACGTGTATAATTGGATGTTTGCTTTCTGCGTCGCCAATTGGACGACGCGGTCATTTTAAATATAAGAAGATTCGACTGTCTATTGGGCATGTAGAAGCCCACCTGACGTAATTTTTCGCTGCTTTGATTGCCGATGTCTGATGATAACCATGTTACTATTCAGTCGCAGTAGAAGCAGTTCCGGTTAGTTCCTCGACGGAAGCTCATTCATGTTCGGAACACGTCTTCCCTTGATAGCTGTCTGGGGACCGAACTACGTATACCTCGGTGGTTTGAATGTTGAGAGCTGATACTTTACACTGCCAACACGAACACACCTGGATTTGCTCTTTGTTATTTGCTAGGAGCTTATGACGTAATAACCATGTCTGATGTGGTGTAACATCGTTTTAACGAGAAAAATGTTTTGTTAATTGGTTGAAGTTTGTTTCTTTAATGTGCGGAGGAGATTATTTAATGCTTAAAGTTAGACCGTTGAGAAATGTTAACAATTACATTCATACACCAACGTAAACCCCGCATAAATTAAACACACATATGTCTTCGCAAACATCGCGACAAGCAACACTCCAAGTTTCACTGCGGTTAATTTGCCAAGATTTACCGCTACCGAGTATTTGGCCGACAAAGCGCCGAACACATGTTCTTTCGCCTATCCGCCCGGCTAAAAATACCGGCTCTCAGGCGCGGCTGTGAAAATAAATGAGTCAAACAAATATTTGGTTAATGATCTAGTTGGCAGCGGGAGAAAGAAACCCGATGACACGAGGAACATTTCACCTTCTCCCGTTATCCGTGACTGGACGCAAATAGGCGGCTGAAAATAGCGGGAATGCCGGCCTACATTAGCGCGGCAACGGCAACAACGTAGGTGATTTGTCACGCCGATTGGCTGCTGAAGCGCTTTGAGGTTATGTTCGCTGTTTGTTTTGCCAGACGCAGACGACCTCCAGCACGTCGGACTGGGTATTAACCGTGTGTCTGTTTCAGTTTAAAGTTGGAATGTGAGAAGCTGGCGAGCGAGAAGATCGAGATTCAAAGGCACTATGTGATGGTAAGTGCCTTCGTCGACGTCATCCATCCATGTGTAACCCAGCTTGTCGCTTGGGCTGCATAACCTCACTTATCACGTGGTAGTGTCAGCAGTAAATGTCAAACAATTGTACAGATTCTTTGAGTACCTTACACTCTTCTTGAATGCCAAAAAGACATTCAAGTTCACAAATGCGTTGAACCGTGTGCTAGTTCACTCGGGTCAGCTGGGCTGTTTGTTTTGGCGGGAGATCGTGACCCGCCACTTGTTGACGGCTGATAACACTATCAGGTGATAGCGAGGTTGTGTCAGCTGGTAGCCGCTTCTGTCACCTTATCACTAACAGGGCCGCCATCTTGCCAGCCTGCGCATGTGTGCACCTAACTGTTTTATGTGTCCTTAACCAAGCCGATGTTATCCTTGCAGTTTAAAAATGGAGATCGAAAAAATTGCCCAGGAAAAAACGGAAATGCAGAGGCATTACGTGATGGTGAGTTGTGTTGTTTATTTGGGAATTAGTTTGGGGTTTCTTCTTCGAGTCATTTCTGTCCTTTGAAGGTTTTGTTCTTTCGAATTACTCAATATTGTGTTTAGAGTAGTTGATGAATTTGATACTAGACCAGCTGTATAAAATCTAAAATATCCGATAAGTTCGTAAAAAAATAATCTAAAACTAAAACGATATCTAAATTACTAGCACTATCATTACAGAACCAAATATAACTCTCTTATCCCAGTTAATCATGCTTCGGCTAAGTTAAAATAGCTCAGTTGGTAAAGCTTGTAGAGGAAATCGTTAACAAAACAATCCTTAGGCAAAAGCGAATTTTAAAGCTTCTTTTAATTACCGTTAGTGGGGTAAACGAATTTCCTAAATATGAATTCACCTGGGGCCTAAAACAGCTGTTATCCCACACCCTGGGTGTGTGTGTTGTAGTCACTAAGGGCCGCTTTCCCCAAATCAAGTTTAACTTAATCTCGGTTAACTTTAATCTGTGGGTTAAACTTAGGATGGCTTTCCCCACTATTTTGTCATGAAAGTTTAGTTTAACCTAGCTTTTCTTTGCAAGCAACAATGTTGGCAACACTGTTATGCAATTTTGTCTGCAATATTAGCTGTTTAACTTCCCACTATGACATATCTGTCATTAATTTTCTCGTGTTTTGGTTATTTGTAGGTTTCGTGTCATTGTCTCCAATTGTTGACATTAAAAAGAAACATTTTTATTTGCAGGCTAATAAATTGTATTGATGCTAATTTATAAGCATTTCATTTATTGTGTTTATTTAAGCCCAAACTTAATTAAACAGTAGGCCTACTGTACGCATCAAATAAAAGCATTTACAATCATGGGAAAATAAAATGTTGGGAAAGACGCAAAATTAATGTTTGTGGATTAAAAACTAGAGCCTATCCTTTGTAATGGCAGGCCTAGGCTACTCAGCATTAGACACGTTCGATGTTTCTAAACTAAATTTAATTTTAGGCGTACTGCAGTAGTTGTTAATTTACACATGATAATAATAGACTAGTGGTTAGGCCCGAATGTTTAATATTTACTTTTGTGTAATGTAAGACTCGTGTTAAAATAAAATCAAACCAAAAGGCTTCTTATGAGCAAACTTTCCAACCACTGTTGCGTTGCTGTGGACAAGGTAACCTATCGATTGTACACAACTACGATACCACCTACCGAAAATATAATAATTTAGGCCTACTCTACGCATTTAAAAACCTTAAAACCATTACTGTATATCTGTAGCCTTATATCTTTAAATTTGAAATAGTCATGAATTAATTAATTGTCTACATAGGTTCTGGTTTGTTATTTTTAATTTATTTCCAGTTCAATTTATTTTAGGTTATGTCAAATTTAAAACAAGGATATTTGCCATTGCCGTCCATTGCCGTCTGCCGAACGTAACAAGTCAGCCAAGAGCCAATCAAAATCAAGCTATTATTCTTCTCTCCTGGGTTAACCCACGGATCGCCAGTTAAACCAGCCTCACCCCTAGGGTTAACTTAAACCTAGTTTAAACGGAGAAATTATTTTGGGGAAAGTGAATCTGAGGTTAAACTAGAGTTTAAACCGCGATCAGAGTTAAACTTGATTTGGGGAAAGCGGCCCTAAGAAGTCTACACCGTGGTTTACATACAATGGCGACTGAGAAGTCAAGGTTGTATACAGTTTGTATCATCACCTCCCTCATTGTACCAGATTGTAACATTACTTTCGTCAATTCCCTTAAAAAGGCAAGAGAGCATTTCATTTTAGAGTCCTGCAATTTATTCCCTCGCATTCGTTCTTTAAATAAATTAAATCAAACCCTGTTAAATGCACACTCATTGTTAACCTGTTCGGGTTTCCGAATTTCGTCTAATCAAATCCTGCACGTAACCTGTCGAAAGGGGAATTGTATTAAAGATTTTATACACTTGTATTGTTAAAATTTCATCATACGGTAAGTTTGCTGTTTGCATGCATATAAAAAAGTTTTCAAAATACTAGCATGTGTACGTATGCATAATAGTGCACACTCCAAAACATGCAGACTTTTTTGCAACTACGCTTAAACCTCATTAAATATATACTTAATGTTGCTCTGAGTGTCCTGAATTATGGTGTAAGTCAAGACTTTTTATATTAAATGCATATGTTTATGCACAAGCTATTTACATATGCAGCTTCAGTACAAGTCCTCGCAATACCTGTGTATTACTATGCGTTCGGCTGCCACTCTGGACTTGCTCGACTACATTTTTTGTCGAATTAATCGCCTTGCTGTGCAATTACGCGGGAAATAAATTACTCAATGTCTTCAGTTCCAGTTTTTGGAGGGAATTTGCATGCCGATCCCGCCGCAACTCGTGGAATTCATTGCACGCGGTTTTGCTGGTTTATTGTAGCGCTTGAGGAGATAATTTTACAATAAACAACAATTTTTCTAAATAGGCCTACTCAGTTTGTTATTATTATTTTGGTCTACTCTATCCTACCTGTTTGTTGTGTAATCAATCAAGATAAAGCTCGTATTCGCTGGGGTTTTGTTCCTAAAAGTCTTATTGTAGTTTTTTATATTTAATTTTATTCTGTAGAGTTGTGCAGTTTGTTGTTTGATTTTATCCTTGATTATAGTTCGTAGTAATTTTGGCAAAGTTGTTTTTCCGTGTTATAAATATAAATGCTTAGTTGTAAAAGTTTTCTATAGAGGCGATACGTACAATGACAAGTTTTTTGTGTTTTTTAGCTCTTATCTGTTTGTTTAATGTTTTGTACAATCGCTTTATGTGTATGACAAGCTACTTATCACTACACCGAAACGTCACGAGCTTGTTTTGGTAAATTTCTTTCATTAAAGACATACAAACATAAAGTTTTTTAAATGTTTAATCTATAGTGCTTCATACACACACTTTAACTCTGATAGCGGTAGATCATGCTACTAAATACAGTTCAGTGGTAAGACTTGTTGATCAAAAACATTCAACAATTTCCTTAAGATAAATAAATAAATGGTTGTTGGACACTTATTCTCATCTAACCGAAATGCTATCATAAAACTTTAATCAAAATGTATTAAACCTAAATGGAGCCATAGTGCGCTCAGCAGAGCGTGATTCAATCACAATTACCACATTCGGGAGCGTCGAGCATGACGTGGACCAGGTGTTCAACCAAAGACCACCAAAGACAGCCGCACCAGCGCGCCAAGTGACACCCACTCAAACCAAATTAATTGCCGCCTCCGCGCTCCCGCCGGTTTATTTCGCGCCAATTTATTAACGCTGTGAATCTCTCGTGTGTAAACTTGTTCTGCTCTTAATCGTTCTTGTAATTTGTTACGTAACGTTGTGTCAAGTGTCAGGTCTGTGTTTAACTGATTAATCTCTTCGTGTATTTGACGTGATGGGACAGTAATTCTGATGTGTCTAGGACTTAAAATAACTTACGAAGTAGTGTCAACTTGCATAAAATAAATCTTAAAAATTTTTCTTCATTGAGTTGAAAACATGAGTTTGTTCATTTTTAAGTGTTGATTATCATTGTTGAATTAATTGCTGATTCGGCCTCACGTCGAATAAAATGCATGTGGCTTTTTAGTGGAAGGGTCTAATGTAATTGTCTAATGTCTAACTATCCAATGTAAAAAAGTTTTCTTCATTAGCAATTCGTATCAACCTTTTTCTAGATAGGTGAACTAACCGTTTGAGGTGGGATTCGAACCACCTGGTAAGGCTGTTCACTTAGGTAAAACAATTTGCGTTTGATCGGATTCAAACCCGGGACTTAAGGACAAAAGTTCCAAATCTCAACAACTAGACTTGCCACGCCGTAGGTTACCTATATCCTTACTTGAATGTGGATGAATTCATAGGAAATATCAAATTCGTATACAGATATTTACCTCGTTAGGGTTTTGATACCACGTAATTATTTACAATAACTTTCCAATCCACAGATATCCCCTTTATAAGTTACTGACGAAACAGTTCAAACAGTTCGCCTCGATAGTTTTCTGAAGGTAATGAAGTAATGAACAAAGGCAGCGGCCGCGCGTACAAAGGCATGTCAAAGGTGGACAATGGAGCCCAATCAATTACCTACTACACTCCGCCAATTAGCGGGATTAATTGACTACTTTAATCAGCGGCCATTTTAATTGGAGGGCGCAGGTGAGAGCGGCGCGCCCTGGGCGTTATACGATCATGTTGATAGCCGGCCTCCGCCCTGGGCCACGTCATTAGGCCGCCGAGTGTTGTAGTATGTCTGGGACGGCAGGGTGTAATAGCCTTAGAGGCCGTGGGTAAAAGATGTTGGAAGGTTTTGTAAGTGTTTGCGTTTCTGTCTTCACTCCTAAACTCAAGTTCGTTCAAGAAGAAAGAAATAGTTTGTATCAGGAAAAAGATCGGTCAATGGCTTGATCAGGTTCTAGAGATAGTGAAATGCTGTAGATCATTAATGCCTGATTAATGCACCTGGCCTGGAGATACAAGTCGTCCGAAGTGAAGGAAGTTCGGA